CTGATTGGGTTTCCGACTCTCCACACCTTGGATGTCCAGGTAGTGGAAATGCTGGTCAACCTGGAACGAAAGGGAGAGAGAGAAATGAATAAAAATATGATCAATCCATCCACTTGCAAAAAACTGCGATCATTCGGATAAAGTGATGGTACGGGGAGGAAGGGGGGGGGGGCTAGCAAATGGAGGAAGTGTGTATATTGATTGTATTTTCTCCTCTGTCTTCCTTCTTCCTTTCCTTGTCCTTTTTCAAATCCCTGTTTTTATTATCACCATCATCATTATTATTATTATACTGTCCTTTTTTAAATCCCAATTTTTATTATCACCATCAGTATTATCATTATCATTATCATTATCATTATTATTATTATCATTATTATTACTATTATTATTATTATTCTCTTCCTCCTCCTCTTCCTCCGTGCTTTCTTCCCCTCCCTACCTATCCCTCACATTCCCTTCCTTTCAGTGTCCATTTTCATTTTTTTCCTCCCTGACCCTTCCTTCTCTTTCTCTTTCTCTTTCCCTTTCCTCTCCATCCCTTCCCTTCCCATCCGATCCTAGCATATAGTTTCCCATCCCAAATCCTTTAATTATCTTTTATTTTATTTTCTTAATCTTTCCTTTCGCCACCGTCACCTTTTCCCTTCTTTCCTGTCCTCCTCTTTCCCACTCCTTTCCTTTCCTTATCTCTTCCCTCCTTTCCTTTCCTTTCCTTTCTTTTCCCTTCCCTCTTCTCCTCCTCTCCCTTCCCTTCTCCCCGTTCCCTTCTCTCCCCTTCCCTTCTCTCCCCTTCCCTTCTCTTCTCTTCCCTTCTCTTCCCTTCTCTTCCCTTCCCTTCCCTTCCCTTCCCTTCCCTTCCCTTCCCTTCCCTTCCCTTTCCTTTCCTTTCCTTCCCTTCCCTTCCCTATCCCTTCCATCCAACTCTTCTCCAGTGTCCGCCGCCCCCCACTCACTTCCAAACGCCGGGAACGTGTATGGATCCGTAGCGCTACAGCAAACCGCTTGCGTACCCACTGACCTCCCTCTCCGCAACAAAGTGACATTATATTAAACAAAACAACAATAACAATAACAATAGCAATGGCAATGGCAATAACAACAATAATAGTAATAATAATAATAATAATAATAATAATAATAATAATAACAATAATATTAATAATAATAACAATAATAATAACAATAATAATACCATCAATAATAATAATATCAACAACAACAATAACAATAACAATGACAATAACAACAAACAAACAAATAAATAAATTAATCCATTAATAATCCTCAACTTAACATTTGACTCCTTTTGCTTCCGGTTCAACAGCAAGGGATTTATTCAAACTTTCTCCCCTTTAAGAATATCCTTCTGAATGCAGAACGTAAACAATAATTAAAAAAATAAAAAATAAACAATTTAAAAAATTACACCGGCGATACCAAAACGAATGAAATTTACGAAATGCAACACTAAAACTCATCCGTGCTAACGAGAACACAGAAGCAACACTAGGGAATAGAAAATACAAGAGAATAATAATAATTAAAAAAAAAATGAGGAACTAAACAAAATGCGAATAAATGCACTCTCTTTACCCTCCCACCCCACCCCCCTCAATACACCTCCCCCCCTGCCTACCTACCATCGCAAATCCTCTTTTATAATCAACATGCCAAAATCTCCCCAACTTTCCCCTTCTCCCCCACCACCATCACCCCCCCATCCCCACAAACCCCTTTTTACCCACCTACACCCCCCTCCCTCCCTCCCTCCCTCCTGTGTAATTACAAGTTCCGATAACAAGCCTATTGAAACCCCTTCCCTCCCCCCCCATTCCCCTCTCACATGATGCCAAAAGCTCAATCGGGTTACATGAGGAGGTTAAAGTGAGAGGGGAGGGGAGGGGAGGGGAGGGGAGGGGAGGGGAGGGGAAGGGGGAAAGGGAAGGGAAGGGATGAGAAGGGAAGGGAGGAGAAAGGGAGGGGAGGGGATGGGAGGCTAAAGTGAGAGGGGAGGGGAGGGGAGGGGAGGGGAGGGAAGGGGAGGGGAGGGAAGGGGAGAGGAGAGGAGAGGAGATAGGAGGAAAGAAAAGAAAAAAGAAAAGAAAAGGAAAAAAAAGGAAAAAGGACAGGACTGGACCGGAGAGGGAAAGGGAGAGGGGCGATGATGATGATGATGATGATAATGATGAGATAGAGAGAGGAACAATAATGATGATGACGATGATGATGAAAAAGATCATGAAGATGAAGATGAAGACAAAGATAAATGAAAATAAAAATAAAAATGAACATGACGATAAAGATGACGACGACAATGCCGATGGCCCTTCGCTGTGGTTAACCCAGTGTATATTTTGGGAGAGGATGTTGATGCTGTTGTTATTAGCGCTTTCAGGGCTAAAAAAAAACTTTTTTTCGTTGCCCGTTTTTGAGGTGATGCCGGAGAGCAAGAGCAAGCGGACCTTCTCATTCATGATCTCAACTTTCGTACATTCTTTTATGTTTTTAATTGCTGCTTGTGACTACACCTTTCTATTTTCCTCCTCCCTTCCTTCTCTATCTATATTTCTCTACCTTTTGTTTTGTTTTTTTGCTTTTACTTTTCTTTTTTTTCTTTCCTTCCTTCCCCCTTTCATTTTTTTCCTAACCCATTCTTACCTCCACCAATACCCTTTCTCCCTCTTCCCTCTTCCCCTTCCCCCCTCCCCTCCACTTCTCCCTCTCCCCCCACCCCCCTCCTATTCCCCCCATTTTCGGAAAAGCCAAAAAGCAAGCGAATCACTTTCTCGCCCTCTACCTTTCTTCCTTCCCCGTCCGCGCGCGCACTCACGCACGCAGACACACACACGCGGGCACGTACACAAGCGCCAGAGTGAGGCTCAAGATGTAGACTGTTTACAAGGGTAAACTGTTTATAATCCGGAGCCTTCATCGAACGCTTGACGTGAGAGGAAGAAGTGATGGGGACGGGGGAAGGAAGGGGGAAAGGAGGGGGAAAGGAAGGGGGAAGGAAGGGGAAAGGAAGGGGGAAGGAAGGGGGAAGGAAGGGGGAAAGGAAGGAGAAAGGAAGGGGGAAAAGAAGGGATAAGAAAGAGGTAAAGAAGAGGTAAAGATGGGGTGATGATGGGGTAAGGATAGAGTGAAGAAGGGGCGATGAAGGAATGGGAGAAAGAATAGGAAGGGACGAGAAAGGAAGGGTAAGGGGCGGGGAAGGGAAAGGAATAGGAATAGGAAGGGAGAGGAGTTAGAGACAAGGAAGGGGGAGACAAGACAAAACAAGACAAGAGAATAGATGGAAAGGATAAGGAGAGAGGCAAGGATAAGGAAATACCGAGAAAAGAAGCCAAGGGAATAGTAAGGTTTTCCCTCCTGAAACTAAACTAACCCCCCCCCTCTTTTCCCATCAACCTCCCCCACCACCCATATCAGGCCGATTCTGCCCCCCCCCCACCCAGCATCCCTCCAACGACCCTCCCTTACCCCCTTCCCCGCGCACTGTACCTCCCTCCCTCCTGGCCCTACATGCCTCATCTCCCTCCCTCACCCCCTTCCCTGCCCCACCTCCCTCCCTCACCCCCTTCCCTGCCCCACCTCCCTCCCTCACCCCCTTCCCTGCCACACCTCCCTCCCTCACCCCCTTCCCTGCCCCACCTCCCTCCCTCACCCCCTTCCCTGCCCCACCTCCCTCCCTCACCCCCTTCCCTGCCCCACCTCCCTCCCTCACCCCCTTCCCTGCCCCACCCTCCCTCCCTCACCCCCTTCCCTGCCCCACCTCCCTCCCTCACCCCCTTCCCTGCCCCACCTCCCTCCCTCACCCCCTTCCCTGCCCCACCTCCCTCCCTCACCCCCTTCCCTGCCCCACCTCCCTCCCTCACCCCCTTCCCTGCCCCACCTCCCTCCCTCACCCCCTTCCCTGCCCCACCTCCCTCCCTCACCCCCTTCCCTGCCCCACCTCCCTCCCTCACCCCCTTCCCCGCCCCACCTCCCTCCCTCGCTCCCTTCCTTCCTTCCTCCCATCCCTCCCTCCCCCACTCTACCCGCTCTCCCTCCCTCACACATCCTAGCTGCCCTCCCTCCCTCCCTTACACACCCTTACCGCCCTCCCTCCCTCCCTCCCTCCCTGACACACCTCACACACGGCCTCCTTCCTTCCATCATCCCTTCCCTCCCTCCCTCACACACCCTAACCGCCCTCCTTCCCTCACACACCTCACCCAGGCCCTCCCTCCTCCCTCACCCCCTTCCCTCCCTCCCTCCCTCCCTCCCTCCCTCCCTCCCTCCCTCACCCGCTTCCCTACACGCCATTAACTTGCCTAATGAGGGAGACGGCGATATGGTTCTAACTAGATAATAATTGCTATTTATCGACAGCGCTGATGATAATGCGGCTGATGCCATTGTTCATGCAATCGCTGGTTTTTGTTGTCGTCGTCGTTGCTGTCTTGGTTGTCATTGCTTCAGAAAGGTTGTATGGCGAAGGAGAGGAGGGGAGGGGAGGGGAGGGGAGGGGAGGGGAGGGGAGGGGAGAGGGGAGGAGAGGAGAGGGGAGGGGAGGGGAGGGGAGGGGAGGCGAGGGAAGGGAAGGGAAGGGAAGGGAAGGGGAGGAGAGGAGAGGGGAGGGAGAGGGGGAAGAGGAAGAGAAGGAGAGAAGAGGAAGAGGAAAAAAAGAAGGAGAATAAGGAGGAGGAGGAGGAGGAGGAGGAGGAGGAGGAGGAGGAGGAGGAGGAGGAGGAGGAGGAGGAGGGAGAGAAGAAGGAAGGGGAGGAGGAGGAGGAAAACGACTTGGAAATTGTCATTATTATTCTAATAATTACTATCTTTACTAAAATATAACAACGATAACAATACAATTATTATTAGTGGTAATATCAACTGTGATAATAAAACAAAACCAACCAGACGGACGATAATAATGATGATGGTGATCTATAGAAATAATAAACAATAAATAAAAATAAATAATAATCAACAAAAACAATACTAATACTAATACTAAT